TCGGGGTGCCGAATGGGTTGATTTTTCTTTTTGAGACCAAGTCTGACTGTAGTCCAGACTGGCCTTGAGCTAATCTGGGCCACCCCGGCCCAGGACGCGCAGCGGTCCTGTGGCCACAGCCTCCTCCTGCTGGGATGCCGCGTGTACCACCATACCTGCTTGGTTAGGCAGGACTTTATATTGGCTTCTGGGCTGCCTGTTTAAGCCTTTCTCTCCCATGAAACCCTGCAAACTTTGGGTAAACTGCCTCTATCCTGGCAAGGGAAAAAAGTAGGGACAGCACCAAATCTCAGTCCTGCCAGCCCTGATCGCTGGTGTCTCACTGCACCCTGTGGAGGGGGCCGTGCAGAACCTGGTCCAGGCGGGAAGGGCCTGCGTCGGGCTCCGTCTTTGGGGTCACCTCTGTTCGCTCTCGGGTGTCCTCTTCCCTTCCAGACATGCCGAGCCCCAGCCTCTGTCCTGATCAGGGAGAACTGGTGAGGGAGATACATGGGAACAAACTCGTGGGCAGAGCCTCCGAGAGCAGCGAGGATGTGGCAGCTCTAGGACACAGGACAGGCCTGGGACTCAAGTTAGAAGGCCTGGGCTTGGTTTTCTGTTATTGCTTTACATCTACCCGTCTGCAGGAATGAAAACCACGGGAGGTAGCTGGGGGAATGTTTAGGGAGGATGGAATGTCAGCCCAGTCAAGGGGTGCAGCCTAGCCTCGGGAAGAGGCCGCAACCCGGGGTAGAACAGAAACAGAAACTGAAAGGCAGGTTTCTGCCTCTGCCTGGCTGTGCACTAGACCAGGGGCTGCCCCGTGTTTACCACCCTAGGGGCTGCGGGGCAGGCTCAGCTCTGGGCCGAGGCTTTGGGCCTGAGGATCTCATGGCTTCTGCTTGGATCACATGTTCCCCTGGGCCCAATCAGCCGTGGGCGTGAGAGGAGCCCCGCACCGCCAGCGGGGCTGCCTCAGGACCTCTCTAAGGGGCTCTATTTGCCGCCGCGCTCACAACTTCCAGTCCTCGCAGGACTGGCGGGACTTGCCTGGAATCCCAGCCCTGGAGAGGCTGAGGGAGCAGGCGCCTGTGATTTGCAGGCCAGCCTGGACTGCGCAGGGAGACCCCGTCTCAAAAGGAAAAAAAGGGCCCGCCAGATAGCTCAGCGATCCCCCAGCGCCACAAGCCGTGCCGACCTGCCCCCAGAGCATGCGGAGACTGCCACTAAGACTGGGCGTGGTGGCGCGCGCCTGTAATCCCAGCGCACGGGAGGCTGGAAACGGGAGGGTCACTAGAGTCCCATCTGTGTAGTGAGACCCTGTACTAAATACAGTAAAATCATGAAAGGGGGAAAAAAAATGTAAGCACATGATAATTTAAAAAGATAAGTGAAAAAATTAGAATCCCCAGCACCACCAGTAAAATAAAGATAAAACACATGCTCCGTGGTGGAAGAGAGTGACCCCATGGCTGAGCAGAAGTTAAGAACTCGAGGCCTGGTTCTGAGGGAAGGCTGTCCTGTAGAAACAGACGCGCCTGCCTTCCGTCCCGGCTTAATGTGCTCCAGCCCTCGGTCTCCCAGCGATGGCAGGGTGTCTGCTGCCTGCTGGGAGCCCTTCCAGGACCCTTCCCCCACGGGGATTTCCACTTCTTTGTGCTAGCTTCCCTTCCCATTCACAAGCAAAACCGACCAGGGCCCTTTTTGAGGCTTGCTCCATGTACCCACCCAGGCCTGGTTCCCTCGGGCCTTCCAGGCACACCCAAAGGACAGCAAGAAATGTCTGTATTCTGAGTAAAGAACACACTACCCTTTGTAATTTTTTTTCTTTCAGACAATAAAAACAACGCAAAGGATTCATCCAGAGATCATTACGACGTAGTTCCCTCCAGAAGGAAGATGGAGCCAGCAGTTAGAAAGGCGTCACACCCTCCATCATTTAAGCCCACCCTTAGTACTGCACCCTAAACATTTAGAAGCACTTAGCTCTGTGATCTCAACTCTATGGATCTTCGTGGCTGGAGTGCAAGAACAGACCCAGAGGCTTGCCCACCCCCTGCCAACCAGAGCGCTGTACAATTCGTGGGCACACCTTGCACAGGTGCAGTACTATGGGAGCCTTGAGTGCGTATGTCGTGCTGCTAGGGTGGTGGTGTGGGTGCCCTTGGTGGTTCCCACTAGCAGGAGAATTTTCTTTTTTTTGGTGGCCTCAGGATGCCTTCAGGGCAGGTCTGGTTTGAATTGAGGATGTGGGGATCGAACCACAGCATCCTGAGCCTCACTGCTTTGTTTCAGCAGGCACTTAAACCACTGAGCTAATAGGCAGGCCCCCAAACGGCAGATTTTTTTTTTTTTTTTTGGTGGAACCGGGGATTGAACTCAGGTCCATGCGCTTGGTAGGGAAGCACTTATTCCACTGAGTCATCTCCCCGGCCTTTTTATTTATTTATTTAGAGGATTTTTTTGCCTTGCTGGTGGAGGGATCAAGCTCAGCCCAGGCCAGCATGGACGCAGACTGCCACCTCCTTGGCCTTGGAGCATTAGAGCGACCTCTTTCACAGGTCTGAATCTAGAGGGGAGCGCAAAGGGTGCCCCAAGCAATTTTTCTTTTTCAGAACTGGGGATTGAACTCAGGCCCTTGCACTTGCCAAGTTAAGTGCTTATTCTACTGAGCCATCTCCCCCCCCCCC